CGTGGTTTTGTTGGAGACCTCCATGCAGTCCCACATGGTCTCGATCCAACCCCAGACCAGGACCCTGAAGACCATCAGGAAGGAGTGGAAGAAGTCGTTCATGTGCCACCGCGGGAGCTCGCAGTCTTGGGCGATCCGACAGACACAGTCCTTGTAGTCTCGGCCAAACAGGTGCAGGCCGACCACGCTGTAGAGGAAGACCACCAGGACGAGGACCAGGGTCAGGTTCCTCAGGGCCCACAATGAGGACCAGACCAGCTTCAGGTACAGGCGGAACGAGGGCCACCACCGGGCCAGCCTGAAGACTCGCAGCTGCAGGAGACACAGGTGAGGACAGGTGAGGACAGTTAAGTGAACATGTGAGGAGACAGAGTGTTGGACGTTTCGATCATGTGGATGAAGATGAAGGTGAAGGTGATGAAGATGATGAAGATGAAGAAGATGATGAAGGTGAAGATGAAGATGATGAAGATGGCTTCACACTGACCAGATTAAACGAGAATGGACTCCCAAAGAGAATCGACCTGATGGCCAACTCCAGGATCGTGAGGACGACGATGATGCTGTCAAAGATGTTCCATCCCACCTGTCAACAAAACAGGTTACTATAGAAACAGCCAAACATCTCCTTTGTAACCATGGCAACAATCAGGAAGTTGTCTGACCTTAAAGTAAGAAGAAGGGCCCATGGCGACGATTTTGAGGACCATCTCAGCCAAGAAGATAAATGTGAAGACCTGGGGGTCAAAGGTTAAAGGACAGATACTCAGGGAATCGACATGTGACTTTGTGTAATCCAGGAGTTTAATCTGGATTAAAGGAGCTCTTCATACTGAAGTTTAATCTGGATTATTGTTAGTCTTCTAGTAAAGTGTTAATCTGGATTACAGATGCTCTGTCTCGGTATCTTCACACTGACCAGGCTGGCTTCAGACAGCGTTCTTTCAAAGTGCTCTGTCATTGGATAATGTTCCACGGCCATGAAGAGCGTGTTGATGATGAGGATGAGGATGACCCCGAGGTCAAACAGAGGGTCCATAACGACGGTGTGGAGCCGCAGTTTGAGCCACAGCCAGCAGCTGCAGCAGTTCGACTCTGGACAGAGACGGGACGGCAAAGAAGGACAGGTGTCCCCAGAACCTGAGACAGAGACAAAGAGCTGAGGACGTTCAGGGAAGACGCAAACTGATAACGTCTGAAGGGGGCGCTATCACCGTCAACACGAACACACAACTGAACAAGAACACACAACTGAACAAGAACACACAACTGAACATGTCTGTTTGTTTGTGTGTCTGAATAAAAGGTTTGTGTATAATGTGACTCTGTTGTCTGTTTTTGTGTGTATATGTCTGTGTTTGTCCAAACAAATGTGTGTGTGTGTGTGTGTGTCTGTGTGTGTGTGTGTAAGTACCTCCCTCCTTGCTGTCTTCTGTCTGTGAGAGCGCCGCCCTGCTGGCTGCCGGCTGTAATGTGAGCACACACACATGGACATGAACATACAAGCGTAAACACACATACACACATACACACACACTCATGCACATACAGGCGCACACACATGCGCACGCATGCACACACGCACATGCACACACACACACACACTTTGAGCTCAAAAACCTCATTTTCAAACTTTCTTCATCAAACATTAGAGAGAAAACGACAACATTCAAGTCTTTACAGCATCATGGACCAGAACTCAGGACCTCAGCTCAACGTCTCCCAGACCAGGGAAGATTAACCCTCTGAACTGGTTTCAGGACTCAGAAGGGGTTTATACTGGTTTATACTGGTTTATACTGGATAACACTGGTTTATACTGGTTTATACTGGTTTATACTGGATTATACTGCATTTAACTGGATTACACTGGATTATACTAGATTACACTGGATTAGACTGGATTATACTGGTTTATACTGGTTTATACTAGATTTTACTGGTTTACTATATTATACTGGATTATACTGGATTAGACTGGATTAGACTGGAATATACTGGTTTATTCTAGATTATACTGGATTACACTGGATTATACTAGATTATACTGGATTAGACTGGATTACACTGGATTTTACTGGATTAGACTGGATTATACTGGATTAGACTGGATTTTACTGGATTATACTGGATTAGACTGGATTAGACTGGATTAGACTGGATTATACTGGTTTCCTCACCTCATTAGAAACAAGTGTGATTAATTTAGAGTCTTTGTGTTGAAGCTGTGACGCCTGTGTGTGTGTTTAACTTTTACTACCTGTGTTTATCATTACACAACACAAGTGTGTGTCAGAGAGCAGAGTGTGTTCATGTGTGTGTGTGTGTGTGTGTGTTCATGTGAGAGTGTGTGTGAGGTGGGTCTAACCAGGAGAAAGGTTCTCATGGTTTAGTGGGACTGATTGGATAAAGGGGTTCAGGTCCAGACTCTCAGGTTTCGTCTGAATCAGTGAAACCTTCAGAGTCTGCTGAGCTCAGGTACGATACAGTGACTTCCTGT